ATCACAAGTCAGTTGAAGCTTCAACAGGTATATCCTAGAGTTCTAGTGAAAAGTAGTGACCAGTGGAGTTCAGCCAGGTTTGTTGTGAGATAGTAACTCACTGAGGACAATGGTGGATGTGTCGCTCAATTTCATGGATTAGTTGAAGTTAGACATTAACACCGTTGGATAACGGCTGGCTCAGTGGTCTAGTGGTTAAGTGCTCGCGCGCGAAACCAATAAATTCGAATGGATTCGAATCTCGCAGGGGGCGAGGTCATGGATGCTCACTTCTGAGGAGTCCCATGATAGGATGAAACGGCCGTCCAGTGCTTCCAGGTTTTCCATGATGGTCTAGTTTCAGCTGACTCATGATCTTAACCATTGATAAGAAATACTTGATTATAGATGATACTAAATCTTTATCGAACAATACGAATATTTGATTAAATAATATGACTGGATAATTATCTTTGAATGTAATCTTTTCAAAAATATAGAAAGTAAATTGTATGATTAGTAAAAAAAATTTAATCATAACTTTTTAATACTATAATTCTTCTAAACAGTAGTAATATCGTAAAGAAACTATTCATTTTAGCTTTATTTAGGTTATGAATTGTGAATATGATTTATATACTTACTTACTTACGCCTGTTACGCTCAGTAGAGCATAGGCAGCCGATCAGCATTCTCTAACCCACTACATCAATCATTTCTAGTTCTATCCAATTGTTGTTCATTCTTCTCATGTCTTTCTCCATTTCTCGAAATAATGTGTTCTTTGATCTTCCTCTTCTCCTTTGACCTTGAGGATTCCTTGCGACGCAGTTGGGTGCTTTCTTCAATGGGTGTTCTATCCACTTCCAGCGATTCTTCCTGATTTCTTCCTCCACTGAGATTTGGATTGTTCTCTCTCACAGTAGTGGTTGTTGCTGGTAGTGTCTGGCTAACGGATCCGGAGTATTTTGTGTAAACAGCTGTTTGCAGACACCTGTATTTTCTGGATGATGGCTTTCGTAGTTCTCGAAGTTTTCACGCTACAGTAGAACTGTTTTGACATTTGTGTTGAAAATTCTGACCTTGGAGTTGGTTGACAGTTGTTTTGAGTTCCAGATGTTCTTCAGTTGTAGAAATGCTGCTTTTGATTTACCGATCCGTGCCTTCACATCTGCATTGGATCCACCGTGTTCATCAATGATGCTGCCCTAATATGTAAAGGTTTTTACATCTTCCAAATCTTCCCCATCAATTGTGATCCGATTGTTGAATGTTGTGTTGTATCGGAGGACCTTGCTTTTCTCTTCGTGTATGTTAAGACCTACTACTGAGGCTGCTGCTACACTGGTCGACTCCTCCTGCATCTGTTGTTGCGTGTGCGATGGAAGAGCCATATCATCTGCGAAGTCTAGATCGTCCAGCTGCATCCTAGATGTTCACTGTATCCTATGTTTATCCCCAGATGTTAAGGTCACCACTGAGCCGGCACCCAACGGTATTAATGTATAACTTCAATCGATCCATGATCTTGTGTAACCCTTGATCCATTGTTTGAGGTGGATAACTGTCTCACATCTGACACAAACTGAGATTCACTGATCATGGCTTCTCATTAAAATTCCATAAAATCCATCTTGAAGCTAGTCACTAGGGAGCACATGATTATTTTTCGAACGGGAAGTTGTGAATTCACCTATTAAAATGCTAAAATCTCCACGAACTCCCATGCTAATTAGTAACATTTAACAAGATTAAAAAATAATGTTCGTCAAAGTATTCGACTTTCAGTGTGTCTAATTACAAGTTGGAACTCAATCTAGTTTAATTTGGACAACAGGACAATATCTTCCTTAGTGTTCTGGAAAAATGTGCTCTGGCTTTGTGGCGATAAATCAACAAAAACCGACAGTCAGCAGTGAATATAAAAACGAAGCTGAAAAAACGGCCAAACTCAGTAATTTTCAAGCAAGCAAGTCAAAACACAGTGTTTAGCGCAAATGGACTGATACAAACAGCTGACTTTTGTGTAAAGCAAGGGCTAGTTATGTTGTTTTTGAAGTTTTCGTCCTTATTTCTGGAGTGAATAACTCTAACACACCCAATACTTACGTGAACTAGACGTTGAATTTTGTGATATAATAATACTATTTACCGTGTGATTTTTCTTGAAAGACACAGTCAGTGTTGTCTTTTACGTGTAGGTTTCCAAGGGTTTGAGATTGTGTGCGATGAAATTTATGTGATACTTATGAGTGACTGGGGCACCTGTACATTAATTAGCAATTACTTGCTAGTTCCTAGTCAGTAATACAATCACCAAGCTAGATTATCGTAGCTACTAATCACACAGACTCATCATATAATCAGGCAGAGGGACAACATGTAGACATAAAAAGTGGATAAATCAGAAACTTCCAAGCTACTTTTAAGTTATTGAAAAAAAACTTTTACTGCCACAAATCTGAAGTATTTTGAAGAAATAAGACTATTGTCGCCTCTGTTTTATAAAATAAAATTTCTACGACCAAAGTTTGTAAATTTCCTGAACAGACTACTTATATTGTAACTAGATGAATGAAGCTAGGTTGTTAATGACTATATGACTAATATTAAGTGATTGGCTGATAGCAGTCATGTGGTGACTTTTAATCAATCAAATTTATCAAAATGTTTCATTAAAAGTAAAAGTTTCTTTAAAAAATAAGTGCTAAACCGCCTACATTTGATTCCGCTTGTCTTAGTTGGGTATTTTCGTTGGTAATAATGACAATTGGAATGGATTTTTTTTAAACAATTCGTTGTAGAATATATATAAGGTCCTACATATGTTTTGAAGTTAGGCCATTATCATAATTATCCCATACATGCCCATTGTAAACGAGACTGTAAACTAATAAGTAATATAATTTATTAAGTTATGATAAAATCCAGAGGTAAGAATGTTTTCTTAGTCAAAATACAGAAATACGGATTGACAAGAACTTACCTGGCTGACTGTTCATGCATATAACTAATAATTTGAATGAATTCTATAATTTTGTAAATCATGTATAATTTAGAAGTATTATTCATGTCATTAATAACGATTTCTCTCTTAGTTTAAAATGAAAAAGTAATAACTGACAGCTTTAATTTTTCTCTAAAGAAGGAGTGAAAACATAAGTTGTAACGATGACCATTTTCTTCTACTTCTTATTAAACTGATAAATACTTTTATAGCAAATCACCCGTCTAATGGTACACAGTATTTTAATTGAAATATGATGTAGGTGTTACAATATCTTGTTCGACTGATCTGGTACAAGTTATCAAAAAATTGTGTATATTGTATTTACTATAGGCGGTTCATCAAAGACATAAACATAGCCCAGTAATTGACTACGTGTAACGTCCAGGTATCATTATTTGCCTGTGAACGAATCGATATGGATACTAATTGATTTTCAATGTTATAGTAATTTGTGTGATTGTTACACTTATTATTATAAACATTCAAATTTAAGGATGAAACTTATTAAGATCTAGCTTGGTGACTAGATAAAAACAACAATATTTAATTGAGTAGAAGTATATGTTTATTCAAGCTTGCTTTTATTTAAAACTGATGGCTTTCAGAACAACGGTGACAGAGGTAGTATGCTTTTGTTTATCGTTTATACCAACATTTCCTGGGATTTCAGTTTAAAAAAAGACATCACATTTTGTCTGAAGGTAGTCCGTACATTCTTCAAAAGTTGTATATGAGAAATGTGTATGAACGAATAAAGATAATTAAAGATATGTAAAATCATTAATTTACTAAAGAATGTAATATCCGAAGATATCTCTGAGGATCTCAAACCTTTTGTATATGAGTTGTAAAATATAGACATGAGACAAACTGAAGCACTCAATACACACATTAGTGCTTCATCATATATTGCGGTATATTTTCACAAATAAATATGCATATAATAAAGATGAATAGATACTGTTTTATCCGCAGTCAATTTATCTTTTCATAGTTTTATAGGATGTTTCCATTGTCATATTCACTTTAATTAAATTAATGAATTGAGTCGTGTAGATACGCTAGATATAACAGTAAATACAATACATTTTAACTACAAAAAGTCTAAATCAACTCAATTAGATGTTTTTCCCAGTGTCACAAAGTTTCTCTCTTTAAAATTTAATAATATTAATTTGCTGTAGAAAATACAGCTAAATTCGGCGAGACTATAATTTATGGAGGACATTTGAACGAATCTTAAATGACTCTGACAAATAATACCCAATCATAAAACAGTTAGTAATGAAGTAAAAATATATTATATAAAAAACCATAAAATTAAAGTGGATACAATTTTTTAAATGGTTCGGAAACTTGTCAAGGTTAGAAAGAGGCTCGAAGGTTCTTAAATCGTAATGCATACGGTAGAGAAACTCATCCATATAAATCCATAATAGTCGGCCTCTTGAGTCATGATAAGGTAGTAAAAACTCCTTCAGCCTCGAGCACATAGCTTCAATACTGTTAGTGTGCACTCCGGTTGTAGGGTTCACAAAATGGCGCTTGTGGGTGACGACATGATGCACATAACCAAGTCTAAGCGGGCACCAATACGCTCTCCAATAATCTGTGTATATTATAGTGCCTGGTTGCACATATCCCAATATAATTGGTATTATTGTCGTTGCCTGTCGGTTTCTGACCCTTTAGAAGTGTTCCTTTTGCGTTGACCTATCGTAAATACCAAGGACGTGTGAGGTATATTTATGGAAGTGCTACTTACCCAGCCTTCTTTAGTACTACTTCCTTCATTAAATTTTCGCTTCCTGCCTATTGTTTCGTCTATTAGTGGTCCCATTTGTTGTAGCCCCTCAATTATCACGTCTTCCCTAAAATCAGCATCAAGTATTGGCGCCATAACCTTGAAATCCCACTCATGCTTCTGATTGGCTTGTCCATAAATTATAGTCTCGCCATTTTAAAAGCTTCAAAAAACAATTCCTAATATTTTTTTCCTTTGTTTCTTTAGGACTCATGTATCAAAACACCAACAACTGATCCAAGAGATTATTTATCAACTAATGAACAAATTGAAATGAATAAGAATAAAACTAGTGAGAAAATGATCACTTTTATTAATCATCAAAAAAATCCATATATCAACCATAATATTAATCTAACTGAAGATAATGATGATAATACACCAATACAAAAACAATATGTTTATCCATTTAAAGCAAATTCATTCCGTTCAGTTAAAAATAAACATAAAAATTTTAATAAAAATATGAATAGACAACAACAACAGCAACAAAAAATGAGATCAAATTATGAAAATGAAATCAATTTAAAACCAGAAATTAAATTAGTTGATTCAAGACCAAGAACAAGATTATGTATTCAATCAGGAATAGAAACTCATGTGAGTTGATTGATTGATTGATTAGTTAAATTGTGAGAAAAAAATTATTATTTCATGAAAATTAAGATTCTTTTGAAAGTATTGAGTATCAGTAGTGTAGAGATTGTTAAGTTTTGATTGAAATCATGAATTGATCAATGTTAGAACATATTTGAAAACATGGAACAATTGGATGGCCATTTTGTCCCTGCAGTGCACATTCACGATTCCGCAACTAAGACTCAAACCAAGGATTTTCGGTCTCGCGCGTGGGTGCTTAACCTCTAGACCACTGAGTTGACATCCAACGGTGGTGATGTCTAACTTCAATTGATCCATGATCCTGCACAACTCTTCATCCATTGTTTGTGGTAGATAAGTGTCTCACACTCGACATGAATTGAATTCCACTGATCACGGCTTCTTACTGGAATCCTAGAAAATCCATCTTGAAAGTAATTGAAAATTAAGGATAAGGTATGAATACACTTTTCTAGTCATCACAAGATAGCAGTGATCGAGTATACTAGTAACCATTAGCTTATTAGTAAGTTGAATTGAATTAATGGATGAATGACTAAAGTTCCATGACAAGCTCATTAAAACCTGATGTTAACTTATTTATTTAGTCAGCGCATAAATGAAATTCCTTATGTCTCATGATAGCTAAACCATATAAGAAATTGTTCATTCAATTCGAGGAAATCAGTATGTTAAGACTACAACTCAGAAGTAAGATCAACTTTAGATAATCATTGGATTCTGATTAAACTTCGCTAGAATCCTCCCTCAAGATCATATGCACAATTAGAGAAGTTGTTTCTAAAGGAATACAAACAAAAAACTCGTATACAACCAAGACTCTAGCTATCCACCAATTCAAGACTAATCTAAGTGTACAAAGACAACATGCTCTTTCACTCTATTGTAGTCCCAGCCTTCCTTTCTATTTTCTATAACCCACCGTCTTTTACTACTCCTTTCTAATATCTTAGTTAACCATTATTACAACAGTTAATTATTCCATTCGTAAGATTTGTCAAGTGAGCAATTATCTTTATCCGTAAATTTTCTACTAACCATTTTATTATCACATAACTTCCTTTAAATTTCTGATTTTCGCGAACGACACCATTTTACCTTTATAAAATTACTCAACACCATTCTCTTTTTCCGCAGTCAGTCATTCAGTTACAACGTAGAACTTCGTTCGTACATATATCAGTTCGAGTCGCCATACCACATCAGCACAGAGATGCAGTTGTCGATTCAAATCACATGGTGGTAGAGGTAGTAAAAGTATAAGCAATAATCCGAAAGATTAGGGTTTGAAGATGTTATTCAAGGAGTATAATCCAGTGAAGTAAATTTGGAAAGAGAAAAAAGGAAAGGGACATGAAGAATTCAGAAGATTAGAATTCGGGAGAACACAAAGAGTGGATGCACCTGCACCAGTGCAAACCATTTTGAGCCATATCATTCGGGGTCTCTAACCATCGGTTGCTATCGTCTCGCGGATCCCAACGGGGTAGTCTGCAGACTATCTTTAGTAAACAACTTAGCTATAAATAAAATTTCAATAGCTGAAATTATGAGTCAACTGAAGCTGGACCACCATGGAAAACCTGGAAGCACTGGACGGCCATTTCGTCCTAGTATGGGACTCCTCAGCAGTAATTGTATAGATACAATTGTACAGTTTAAGTAAATGAAATCGTTAGTAAGAAAATTTTCATCGCTGAATTTTCTCTATCCTTCTCTAATGGCAAAATGGGTCTTTTTCGTTATTTGATATAACATCTGTATGAATACCAGTTAATTACACGACAACATTTTTGTAAATTTTTAAAGAGGTAAATGGGTTATTCCGAAATCTACTTGAAGCAACTCTATTTATTGACTACCATAAATAATTCTTAGTAAGTTCATTCAAAGCTTAAAATGCTCCTCCTAGAAAAGTTGAGATCTTCAGGAAAATCGAAATTTACATACACAACTCGTAAACAAGGTAAAATGGTAGACATCTTCTTCTAGTTAGCCTGCTTAAGGTAAGATGTTAGGTTGAAAAAACAAAAAAATATTTTACAATGTGTGGTGAATAACAATTGTGTTGAGCGGTTACTTCAAATGTATTTTGTAGATATTTTTCTAACAGGAATATTATTGATCATGTTATAAAGATAGTAAGACCGCGTGATCTTGCAATTCACGCTTAATCTACTGAATAGGGAGGAGCACCACGTGAATGACCCAGCTTTTATTGATATTAGCGATAAAATATTTTACGGTCCCGGAAATTAGTAATTTTATACGGTTTATATATATTCTTTGTTTTTATTCAATAATATGCCTAATGGTTACCCGAGTTACAGTGAACTAAAAAAAGTATCACTCTTTACATTCGATAATAGACAGTTTAGCCTCCTATTCAGTGGATTAATTTTATTCTGTTTATGAATACGTTTTTGTAATTCAATCTCTGAAAGATATTTAGAAGAGATATCTCAAAATGTGTTAAATAGTATCATTTTACTTATTATTGTGATTCATAAACCTACAAGTCATGAATGAATTCAAGAAAGATATTTCACACGAAACTACTCACTCTTAAGTAAACACAAATCTTTAATAATAAAATCGAATTCTTCAATATACTCACTGGATTCAAATTTTAGAGTACTAATTAGACGATATCCATGTAATAGATATGTAACGGGATAAAATATATATTGTCATCGAAATTGGGTAGTTTCTTGATTTAATGATGTTTTTTGGCAATTGCAAAAGCACAATTTTAGCTATTTGTCATAGAATTTAGCTTATCCCATTCACTAGATATTGAAGAATGATGAAAATGCATGCCAAAAATAAATCGTCTATCCAAAATATCTATCTGTCTCAGCAATGTTTATTTTTCCTTCACTAACTACTATATCTTTTAATTTATCACTTTACTTGTAGATCTTGATTACTGACGTGTTATAAAATAATGTTGTCTTTTTTAAAGATTGTAAAGGTCTCCACTGCATTAAAACATTCCTTCTCTTTTTATTTCAATTATATGACGTTACAAAGCGGCTCGACAGTTGCCATCACGCAAATTGTTAGATCTCAAGGAGGTTATATAAGTTACACAATTGACAGATGATCGTTATTCCATTAAATGCTAAAAAAATATTATTTTCCCTCATAAGCCATATTTTTTTATTGGTTTTTATGCACTGTTTACACCATGTGATGGTGTAGCGAACAAAAGACTTGGTATGAAAAACTAACTTGTTCCTTAATGCAAATTACTCAGTGGCTCAGTAAAATATGAAAATCATATATTAACTACATCATTTTCACATCTTTGTGTTTACCTTTACATAATTCATTATTCCTCTAATTCTGTTAATATTTCGATCCTTCTCCGATTTCCTTTCTGTTCACTTCATTTCAATCTTCTGCTACCAAGAATTAGACTTCTGAGTGGTGCTACACACTACTTATAACTGTCAGCATAATTAATATACATCACAATGCCATCTCATTCGTCCGGAAGATGAGCGCTCGATTCAAGATACCAAGTTCCTTGGCTCAATCCTCATTAGGGTTGTGGATGCGTAGTCTTGAAGAGTCCCATACCAGGACGGTACAGTTGTTCAATGGTTCTTGGTTCTCACTAGTTATCTAACTTCCACTGGTTCATGTTCTCAATAACATTCAAAAATCTCCACAACCTCCCTCACGGTGATTATGATATAAATTTTTTTGTTTAAAAACTTGAATAAATGCGTAACGACAACCAGAGTGGGTTATAATAGATTGATTATACTTTAGAGATTCTGGTTGATTGCGCATAACACTTTTGTACTGAGAAAGGAAGTGTTATTTCATAATAAAAAATAACGTCTTTGAATAACTGAAATGATAAGGGTTTTCAGTAATATATATGTCACGTGGTATCATAAGTTTATAAATCAGTTATTTAGGGTATATATCATGGAATATCCCTATTTGGGATATTATTTGGCACTGACAAGATGTCTTCTCGTAATATATCGAGTTACATTTCAATAAAATCTAAGGGTGTATTCATTTAAAGATAATTCATGAAATATAAATTCATTTAACAATCTGCTTCGGTTGTTGTTTCTGGTAGAGTTTTGTTCTTTGGGCTGGATGGTTTGGTTGTGGAGCTTTCATTATTCTTCTGAACAACATAATAAGAACAAACTATAGGTGAAAGTGGAGTTTTCAAATTTCTCCACATATGACCAACAGCTTGTTTTGTCAACCTCGATCTTGAATGGTTTTTATTTGTCTTAAATCTCTGTTATCTACTTCTTTATTTTGTGGATAGAACTCAACCAAAATCATCCGCTTGAACAATAAACCTTCTCCACCATCTAAGTTGCTATTCATTCTAGCTTTTTCCATTGGTTTTTAATGGTGGAATTCTTGAGTCGATTTAAGCTATACCACCATTGAAAACCTGGAAGCACTGGATGCCCGTTTCATCCTAGTATGGAACTCCTCTTCAGTGCGCATGAACGATCCCTGATGTGGGATTCGAACCCGGGTCCTTCAGTTTCACGCATGTACGCTAAACCTGTAGTCCAGTGAGCTGGCATCCAACAGTGTTAATGTCTAATTTAAATCGATCTATGAGCTTGCACAATCATACTAAGACAAAATGTCCATCCAGTGCTTTCAGGTTTTCAATGATAGGTCTAGCTTAGAACAATTCATGAATTCATTTATTAAAATGACTACAATCTGTACAAACCTCCATTCTGATAATAATCATTGGTTTTTTTTTAATATATTGAATTTAGTGATTATAACTTTTCTAGGTTATAAAGTATGTTCACTTAAAAACAATTTACTTTATGAAAGATTTGTACCGTTTAATCTATCTGTCATATTATTTATCAAGAAAAAAATCTTAAAAGTAAACAAACCATAAAAAGTGGGGGGGGGGTAAGGATTAAAAATTAAAAAAATCATTAAGATTGTTTCTATTACATTGATTTATTTACTGAAAATTTTTTATTGAAATAGTTACTCTACCAACAACAACAACAAAAAATGCCTTTCACTGTCAATTTATTTTCTTCGATCACATGTACATACAAACAAATATTCATAATAGTAATCATAATAATCATAATTATAGTAATAATAATAATAATTTCATACCCAATATTTACCATTCATACATTCTTATAAACTATCTTTTATAATTGATTTCAAATCATTTATCTTATTCAATTTATTTACTTGATGTTCTTTTTTTGTTATTGTTGGTTCATTTATTTATTATTTATTGAAGAAAGTGAATTAATAGATAAATAGTTGCCTTCGCAACAATAATAATAATAATAATTTTTAATAGTTCTGTGTCAATCCATAATGACTGATGGATTATTATTATTTTTCAGTGTTTCCAACTTTTTTTTTCTTCTCAGTTTGACCAATATTTAGATTATTATACAATCCATAATTACTTTTAAACAAATTTATATAGAAAGTAGGAACGAATCGAGCGGAGAAATTACTTTTTAATTATGTATATATATATGACTTACAATTATGAAATAATAATCATCGAGTGGATACGTTACGTAGTAGCTATATAATCGATATGTCAATAAACAATTATTACATGACGTATCCACTCAATGAGTATTACATCATTATTGTTAATAATATATATATTAGTATAGAGCCATGATGAGAAACCAATTTTAAAAAAATTTCTTCGTTCGATTCGTCCCTTCTTTATTGACCAAATGTCAAAATGGAAATTTTCACTGTATATATATCCGTATTAGACTGATTACAATGTAGGTGTATATCTTGTGAATAACTCTACAATAATGTTCATTTTGATTAAGTGTTTTGAATGCATCTTATGTTTCATATTATTAACAATCCTACCACAAATATTCAATGAAACTAATTTATGGATCTAAATAATATACTTATATTTTTCCTAGATAGTTACTTGTCTACTTTTATACCACTCTTTAAATACAAATACAGTATGAATATTAACTACGTATTTAAGTATTATGTAATGTAAATTTTTGCAAGTAGTTGTATAAAGCTTGTTGATATTGGTCATTGAATTATATCAATAACCTAAAGGGGTATATTAAATTCCTAAATTGATATAAGACTCAATCGAAAATAATTTCTTGTTGATTTAAAATAGATATCTACTGTGTGAGTACAGATTAGTTCAAATATAAATCTTATAGCTTTCTATCCGTCACTTTTAAAGAATTTCAATATTACATATATGTATTTGTATACGATTTAGTGACCCGGGATCTGACTCTAAGTAGATCGCATGAATGATTGTTATTGAAATATATATGTTGATTATCCTCGTACATAATCATCGACTTAAATCGCGTTAGTTAATAACGGAATGAAATAAGTCGAATGACGAGAATACGTATATTTTGTATTTGAAGCGAATGGAATAGAGCGAAGTGAAAAGACGCGCGGTGAAGATGGCGTGTAAGCCAATTCCCTTTACTCAAGCGTTAATCAATTTCTAATGATACACCAAAAATGTTTATTAATACACACAAGTTTTTCACTTTATCACTATCTGTTGAAATGATAATCAAACATCTACATTCTTTTTTCTTCTCAAATGTTAAAATTTAATTATATCACTGTATCCATTTTCTATGGCTGAAGCGATTACGAGTTCACCTGGTCTGCGAACGAAACAAAGAATCTGTGACAAAAGGTCAATAAGGTAGCTATTCTGATGCGTCCCAGCCCTGCTAACTAGAGAGAGAAGTCGTAGTTCGATATGGGGAAATATATTCCGCAATCAGCCAGAAGTACTAGCAATCCCGACCATGCCTCTCTACGATCAAGGGTGCTAAAGCAGTTCCACACTGGTCATCTTGGTATAAAATGAATGAAATCCATCGCCAAAAGCTATGTATATTGACCTCTCATGGATCAACATATCATGGATTTAGTAGACCAATGCACGCAGTGTCAGCAAGCGGCGAAATGTATCGCGAAAGTTCCGCCGGTACCATGGCTGCAGCCTGAGTATTCATGGTCTAGGATACATGTCGATTTTGCTGGTTCAATTAATGGAACCACCTGTCTAGTCGTGATTGATGCCTTTTCGAAATGGCTAGAAATTGTTCACATCATGGCACCAACGACCACCAAAACGATACAACTCTTGACGGAGATGTTCGCTCGTAACGGGTTACCGCCCGTAATTGTATCAGAAAGTGGTTCGCAGTTCACCTCAACTTAGTTCCAAGATTTTTTCCAACGGCTACCCATCAAGCATTTCCGCTCTCCACCCTACCACCCACCATCAAACGGCCAAGTAGAAAGATTTGTGAATACATTCAAGAGAGCTCTAATCAAATTCGAAACAGTGAAATATATTTCACAAGCAGCCAGAAGCACGAGCAATCCCGATATAACACCATTATGATGTTCTTACTATAAATCACTTAAGTTAGGTTAGATTATGTCATCAATAAAAACTATATTTGTTAGTTTAGTTCTAAAGAAATCATTTCTCTTAAATAATGCTCTTTTCTTCTCTTTTTTCTTAGACAAAAACAATGACACTTCAAAGAAACTTAATAACCGATGATAGTTTAAATAGTAATGATTTAAATATGATCGGTTATATTTCATTACCTAATCAAAAAATATCAACAAGAAAAATAATCAATAAATTATCAACATCACCATCAATGCCATTACCAAATTTAATCTCTACTGATCATTGTATATATAATGTTAATTTATCTGAAATCGATCATTATAGTGAACCATATAATAGTAGTAGTACATGTGAATCATTAATTGAATATAAACAAACAGATAAATTAATCATGGATAATCAAAATGATCCAGAATTAACAGTGAAGCTTGATAGAATTGCTTGTGAAATTGGATTATTACATCATCAGAGAAGAATGGGACGTAAAAGTTCACTATCTTCACAATGTAATGTTGATGGTAAGTTAAATATTCACTTATTTGCTTCTTGAATATATTTAAAGATCTTTCTAGTTCATATATATATATTTTTAAAAAACACTACTGTGTTAGGATCTATTGATTTGTGAATTTATTTGGAGTTTTGTAGTTTACCGCATGAGTTGACCTTATTTAAACAACCAAGAAGTACTGGGCAACTGTTTCGTCCTTGAGTAGGCGTCCAATGACCTCACTTAGGATCGTAACGAGAAACATTAAGTATCTTGATAGAGGTTTGACGTTAAGAGCACTGAATCGGTATCCTATGATTTCCATTTCTTGCTTTAGTCAGTTTTCGATTTTCTGTGAATATCATTCATTGAAAATAATTAGTAGATCCTCCTGAAAGTTTCATTTGAAACTATTTTGATTTTTGTGTAGATTTTCTATAATTTGAAGATGATTTTCATGATAAAATGAAATCAGTCAAAAAAAAACTGTTGAAGACCAAGAATTATTTGAAATCTATAACATTCTAGTTTAGAACTCATTCCATAGTTAATCAAGAACAATTAAACTTTCATATCATTCAGTAATCATAATATCATTCATCTAACATTCTTCTAACTATGGAAATTATCAGTATGTTTCATTTGTATTGTTTTACTTGGTGGATTGAAGGGATATGATTTTTTATGAGGAACAAGTAGCTTAACAGTAAATATCAAATGTTCTTGCTTCCTGTGTATAAATGTATGCTTTATTGAAATATGTTCTAATTAGTTGCTATGATAGTTATTGTCAGTAAATGTATTTAACTTTCATGTGTATCATCTTTAACTTGACTTTATTTTGATGATTGATATTTTTAACTTACCAATTACCAATTTATACAACATTTTAAATCATTTTACAAGTTGTATAGGAAGATATAGACTTTATGTGTAAAAGTCGTGTTATAATAGAAATTAGTAACTAAGTGTTTGTTCGGTTAAAATGTACAAGATTAAAAAAAAATAAAATGGTACTAAATGATGAAATGATTGTCTTTCATTTTTTAAAATAAAATTTCCATCATATGGAACTTAAAATATATGGATTAAAATGTTTTTGATTAAAGGTCATGAACCGATTGATGTTAGATCACCATTAAAAACCTGGAAGTACTGAAGAGGCGTTTCGTCCTATTGTGGGGCTCCTCAGTGAAGCGCATCCACAATCTTGCAAGCGGGATCTTCACAACCGTATACTGTTAAAATTCTTTTGTTTGAATAATCACATGAACTTATAATAATAGACAGTGATACGAAAAAAAAATTTATCCTTCATTTATATTAAACTTATTTTAAAATATATGCCAATAATTTACTTTTTAAATGATTTCATAGGTTTAATATCAATAAATAGTCCATGTTCAGAATCCAATTTACCTAAAGCTGATTTGGATCAACTTTTAACATTGGAAATATCAACTATTGTTTCTAATCCAGCTTATGTTAGTTCATCTAAAAATGATACAACAGTAACAACAACAACTCTTCAAACAAACTCGACATCTTTAAATAATTCAAAAATTACCGATTCAAGACATAGAACTCATTTATCTCGAGTTGATTCATCTTCAACTAATAATAATCAAATCAAATCACAAAATCGACCAAATAGTACAGGTAGTCGAATTATTAAAGAATTTCTACGTCATATATCACCAAAATTAAGACGTAGTTTGTCAAGAATTTCTAGTAGAAAAAAATCTGAAAATCAAAAACCAAATCATGATGATAATCATGAAACTAATCTTCAACCTTCTTCTAATTCATTTGAACGTTGTAAATCAGAACGTATCTATCCAAAAAAATCACTTCTTCGATTTATTCCACGTTGTTCAAGTCGTTCAAAAGAACGTAAAAGGAAACAGGTCTCAACTACAGAAGGTAGTGTGTTATTAATAAAATTATAAAATCTAATATTTTCTATATAATAATCTAGATACTGTTAAGACATGGTTTGATGTTACAAAGCTCGGTGTATGTTTATACTAAATCAATAAACGCTGTGAGTGATTGTAACTTCGGTATTAGAAACTGTGAAAATCAAAACTAGTATATAGATGCAGTCAATTGACTCCTAAAAAAACGGAACGCATGTTTAAAAATTCACTGCTGACAACAATTCGTCTAATCAAAAACTATTTGCAATTGTATCCGCTGAGTAGCTCTATTAATCTAATTGTACTGTAAGATTTAGTTTGATTTTAATCAGCCTAAATTTTTTTAGATTCCTGCTATACTTCACAAATTCAGCTATTATTTTGATTTTGATTTTTTTGTACTCATGGCCATCTAATCAGAACATCTTTAGAGTGAAACAGCTACATTTTTGAAATATAATTGGCGAGACTCTAATTTATGGACGACCTTTGAACGAATCTTAGGTGACCTTGAGAAATATTAGCCAACCACAAAACAGTCAGTGCAGAGTAAAAATATATTATAAAAAACCAAGGAAATAAAGTGGATACACTTCTTATACGTGGTTCAAAAACTTATCAAGGTTAGAGAGAGGTTCCGAGGTTGTAAAATCTTAGAGCATGCAGTAGAGGAAATCATCCATACGGCTACAGAATAGTCGGCCTCTGGAGCCATGATAAAGTCTCACGAACTCTTTCAGCCTCGACTTCATAGTTCCAATATTGCTTAGGTGTACTTCGGCCGTTGAGTACACAAAATGCTACTAGTGGATAACGACACGATGCATATAACTGAGCCTATGTAGGAGTCTGTACGCTCTCCAAACATCCGAATATATTGTAATAGCTGGCTGCAACCAGTGTTACTGGTGCTTTTATTATCCAGTCCGCGATAGTTGTCATAATTTGCTTTAGTTAGGAATTATATATGTGGTTTTAATCACGAACTGACATCAGCTATAATATCAGGGGTTTATCTAACTAAAAGGATGAAAGGCTTTCGCGTTAAATTCCGAGATCTATTATCTTATACCTGATTGATTCGTTCACAAATTATAGTCTCGCCGTTTTATTTGTTATAGTCGCTCACTTATCACGTTTTGTGCAAAATTCCCTGTGAACCGATCGTACGTTAGCATTAAGCGCTGAAGTTGGCGCCGCAGCCTTGAAATCTCTAAATCGCTTATAAATGGCTCGTCCATAAATTAGAGTCTCGCCATATAAGTGAAATGAAATTCCTTTTTTTTAAAAGTTAGTTTACATAACATAAAGTTTTTAGCTAAATAACCAGGTAGCATTAAATAACTATTTCATCTTATTATAAAACTTCATCGTAGTAAATATCTAAGCGCGTTGTCAGGAAAAACTTAAAAATTCACGCTATTTATAATGATCGTGTTACATTTTTATCATTAAAATTAGAAATCCTAGAATTTCTAGTCAGATTCTGAGTGAAAAAACCTACTATCATAATACAAAAACTTATTTTGTTGCATTTGAATATCGAAGTTTTTATTCCTCATTCCTAATTGATCTTGATCATATTCTTAGAAAAAAAACACAATTATACAACTGGTATGCAATACAGTTGGTGAAACAAAGACAGAATAATGAAAATTTAAATACCAAAATAGACATATACAAGTAATAGATTGTAATAAATATCAGTTAAATAACTGGGGTGAATTCTATTTAAAAGTCGCAGCATTATCATACTATATTATTTCAGTGCATTAAATAAATAAATTTGTAAAACTACCATGAAGTCACAAAATATAAACAAGACTCAATGAAGAAGTCTTCCGTTTCCCAATATTAGTGTTTTGAAGGAGTATCATTCCAGATAATTGTAACATTTACTCCAGTAACGGAAAATGAAATTCATATTTTATTATGAACAACAATTAAAGTTTTAATAGTCGAATTCACTGGTCAATATATGATAGACCACCATTGAAAATCTGGAAGCACTGGACGGTCGTTTGGTCCTAGTATAGGACTCTTCAACAGTGCTCATTCACGATCCCTGATACGGGACTCAAACCCTGTACCTTCAGTCTTGCGCACATACGTTTAGCCTCTGGACCACTTAGGCTACTAAGGTTAATAAGAATTAAGGGTTATTTAATATAAAAAGATATTTAAAGAAAATAGATGATCAAATACTAGCTTGTTAAAATAATAAGTTGAAAAACCCTAGGTTACCAAGGTGATTTATTTAACAAGGTCGAACGAATTGGATGTAAACAAAAGTGAGAGTATAATGTGAGAAGATTAAAATATAGAACAATTTTTGGGTGTGTTGGGTTTCATTTCAATTTAATTAACTTCCTTTCTAAATATAGATTTCAAAGTTTAAAATATGAACTGAAGAGTTTTTAAAAGTTTGAAGGGACCCATCCTTTATAACATTTGTATTTACTTCATAGTTAAGTTGCTTTTTTCATTCACTGAATAATCCGGAACGATTCAAGGTTTCAAGATGTAGCTATGTGATATCTTAAATTCAAGTCCTTAGAAATAAACGAGTATTTGTTTAGAATTGGTTTTAAAATGCTAACTCCAAGTATGTTGACAGATCTTAAAATGATTGACGACTCATGCATATTCAAAATTTTAAGGTATATAGTGAGTAGTATTTGAAACTCATTAGTAAAAAAAGGGAAAAATGTAAACTAAACGTTTTGCAAATAATATTTTTCTAGGTATTAATAGCGAATTGATCTGTTGGAGTCTCAGTCTCATGTTCTGGATATTCAATTTCAGTAAATCCTACTATTTTATAACTTACCATATTATTGATCGTTTAAATAATTATTTTAAAATTAATGATCACTGTTTCAATCACATTTAGGTAATTCACAAACAATCACTAACATTGATTTATAACCTATTTAGTTTCCCAGGTATTGAAATAAATATTCTCTCATTTAGTGTTGAACTCATTCTTACTTATAATTCCTGGATGAATGAGTTCTGAATGCCGTTCAGTTTTTGAATGAATGAATAAATTTATGATATTTTCATCTCGTGTATCATCATGTCTGTGAAATTTCATTGTGAATAATTATAAAACTGAAATTTTTCCAAGAAACTGTTCAATCTACTTGTTTCTGACAATGGTGTTAACACTGTAAACTTCCAATTTGTGTCATTAATGAAGTTAGTTGGCAAAATCTACAGTTTTGCAGGGCTGTTGAAAAAGTTTTTGCAGGAATTAACTTTGCTGATCTGTTAGGGTAACTTCTACTAACAACGGGTGACCTTCCCACGTAACTTCTTTATGGACCAATATTTTTTAGCATAGAAGTAGGCTATGAAGTAGCGTAGACTCAGAAGAATGATGTGAAAAACCGGTGAATAGGTTCGTTTCCGATCAGCAGAATTCAACTAAGTTGGCGAATATACCCTCGTTGTAGTCTCCGAAATGAAGATGTTCAGTTGTTAAAGACTTTAAGTGGTATTGTTAGAAGTTGGTTTTAGCCATGCGAATTCACATACTATTTACCTTTAACCAACATTGTAGCACGATATTACCCTAAAAACTTCTATTTTCTGATTTTAGTTAGTTCCTTCTAATCCCGTTTACTCGTTTTTGTCATATTAATTTTTTTCGGTCTTCAGTATTATTACACTGATTGCGTTGTCCCCATATTTCATAATAAGTCAGTCGCATGTTTGAAGGTATATGTCACTTTCCGGTCGCTCATATAGTAGAAGGAAAGTTTCTAAGCTATCTGAAACGAATTAGGGTTAGGAGAGGTCTTCAAAACATGGGAGGATCACTACAGAGCTCAAAAGACAACTACTTTGGATTCATAGTTTTGTGAGAAACATTTCATGTGTTAGTTGTGAAATTTAAAAATCTTACTATATTTATCTAAAATCTGTAGAGTAAGATGAGGTAGGATACTTTTAGAGTCGACATTTTAACCTCCTTGCATTCTAGGAAAGTATTACTATTGTTGTTACTGGTTGTATGAATGAAACAACTCACTATTGTCACACCTATGTACATTTAGCAGTATAGCTTCGCCCTCGGATCTTAAATTAGAGCTTTGCATCCTACTATTTTTCACCTAAATTGTCTGTTACAGTAGAATCTAAAGAAAACAAATTTTCCAGACAATACAGCTCAAAGGAGTCATCACGATATGAAGCCAGATCATCATGTCAAGGTAGCAGCTACGATTCAACTTAAACTGATCTATTAATATACCGTATCTCTATTCATTTAAGTATCAATAACCGTTACAATACAATGAAAAAACTGTTCATTCATTATTCTGAATTAACCTCTACCATGAATCAATCATAAACAATAAATAACCTGTTTACAATATTTGATTTAATCAATATTTACAACAGGATTTTCATCAGCTATTCTCAGTCTGAAACTAATAAAACATGCTCTTTCTTGCGATATAAAAACAATGTAAATGTGCACTTCAAAATATTTGGAAAAATAGAGCTTCTCAAAGAATTTGTTTACATACTATTTTATTGATCGAAGGGGACCCAATATAACAATGTTTGAACTAGCTTTTAATAAATAAAAAAACATTGAGATAATGCACCATTTAACGAAAGAGGTTTTTGGTTTTGTTTGGTTTCATTTTGTGTTTATATATAAACTTAAAATGAATTGAAACTTAATTTACATTTCAGATGAAATGTTTATTAAATTGTTTTTCCTTTTGAGTAATTTGTTTGAGATAAAAAAAGAGAAGAAAGCTTGTATCTTTTTCATTGAAGACTCTGCTCCATCCCCTATGAAAGTGATATACTTGAATAAACTGTATGATTTAATGCTTATCGACAATTCTGTCATTTCTTTTATGCATTGATTACATAACTTAGTGAATGATAGGCAAATACATTGTTGTGTTTATATATATATATATATATATATATATGATATAATCTTGAATATGATCAAGTTTATGAATTCGGATATCAATCAAT